GTTAAGTTTTTAAAAATCTAATGTTGGACTTAATAGAAGACAGCTGGATTCTAATGACTGCTTCTGCATTCAATCTGTTGCGTTATCATATGTTATTTAGTTTCTGAAAACTTCACTGTACACTTGTGAAGAAATGAGATTGAAAAAGCAATTGACATTGTAGTATTATTATGAAAAGAGTTTTAACTTCTCAGACTGAAAGTTGCTCAGGAACCCCCAGGAATCCTCAGACCATACTTTGAGTATCACTGCTCTGCTTGTACCTGTAAATGCTCCTTTTGCCTATTCTTCTTCCTTATTTCACCTACCCTCTCCCTTGCTTCCTGCCCTCCAGTCACATTGGTCTAGCAAACAAACCAAAGCCAAACAAACTTCTATTTCTTGAAGCGTACTGTTTCCAGTGTCAGAGCATTTCGATATGTCACCTGGAATATCCTTTCTCTTCATCTCCATGATCTTCCCTCATCCTTACTATTCTTTATTACCGATGGTTACTGTCTATTTATGTGTGTGACTGTTTGATGACCATGTATTTTTCCCAGTAGGTTATGAATTCCTTGATAGCAAGAACCATATCTGTTTTGTTGACCATTCTATCTCTGTCTCTTAGCATAGTCTCTGGCACATAAAAGTTGCTCAATCCAAGTTGACTGTGTGAATACATGAATGAATAAGCAGATGAATGAATAGTACAGCGTTCTGTCTTTGACCTTATCATATTACATTAATCATTGTTAGGACATATTGATCAGATTTGTAAGTGATTTGAAGGTAGGAGATTTAGGGATATCTTAGATGATAAAATTAAATTAAAAAAATAAACACACTAAATGACGGGAACCTTTAATGCCCAGAGTCAGGTAGAAGGTCTTTCACACAATACTTTCTTGATAAATACAAAATCAAATATGATGTTATTATATTTTTCTCTTTTCTCTTCATATTGATTCACTCCCAACACCCCGTATATGAGAACAACAAAGACTACACGGACATACCAGGAACTACCATACTCTTTATGAAGTTATAGGCTAGGAACTTTGATGTTGAGGGATCCCAAAGTTGAAATAATGCTTGGTCCTTGAAGCTATTTAGGTATAAACAGCATCGTGGATGAGAAGTGTATTGAAGTTATTTACTACTTAAAGAACTAAACACAAATTTGTAGTTCTCAAAAACTCCTTGGAGTGGAAAGAGTATGCTGGGAAATTTCTTTCTACTAAAAAACACGTAAGAATCCCTGGTGGTACAGTGGTTAAGCTCTTGACTGCTAACTGAA